TTGTCCTTTTTTACAATAAAGTAATCCAAATTTATAATCAATACCTCCTTGTGATGTTTCATAATTCTTTAATTCTGCCTCTAATTTAGCTTTTTTAAATGGTTTAAATTGTTGTTTAATATTAATTTCTATACTTTGTAAAACAAGAGGAATAATTGACTTTAATTGATTTACTGTCATTTGTTTTTCTGTTTTACCAATAAGTCCAAATGGAATAATCTTTTTAATTTCTTGTTGTTTTGATCGATAAATAGCCATTACTCCTCCTTTCTTTCCTGGTGGTGCCATTTGGTCATTAATTGTTGTTAATGATAATAATAATGGTCCATTTTGTGTTGTACAAACAAAATGAGCTTGTGGTCTTCCCATAAAATAACAAATATACCATGGGCAATCTAATGGAATAATACCTACTCCATCATACTTTTGTTGTGATCTAATAAATGCACTTCCTTCTGCTAAATGAAGGTCTTTCTTTTCTGTAAGATAATTTGTTGCAAACATTAATAATGAATGTGGTGGTTTTCTTGTTGTTTCAATAACTTTTGTTTGAGATGTTTTTTCTGGTTGATTTGTTTCTGTATTATTTTTCTTTTCATTATCTTCTTCATGACTTTGATCATTATCTTCTTCATGACTTTGGTCATTATCTTCTCCAATAATTTCTACATCATTGATTTCTTCAAATTCTTCTTCTTCTTTATCATTATCTTCTTCAAAAAATATGATTGGCATACTCTTTGATCGTTTAATACGTTTATCTATATCATCTCCAATAGTATAAATTTCTTTTAGTCTTTCTTCAAATGCTTCTTTCACAATTTTTAATCCTTTTTCATAGTTTTCTTTCTTCTTTTGATAAAGAGAAACATAACTATTTGTTTGTTTACATAACACATTTAATTCTTCTTTTAAAATAGTAATATCATCACTTTGTTCTTCTTTTCTTTCTGCCTCAAATATTCTACTTTCATTAGCCTTCAGTTGTGTCATTCGTTCTCTTGTTTTTTCTTGAACAATTTGTATTTGGTCTTCGAGTTGTTTAATTAATGAATTTAATTGAGCAATTTTCTTCTTGTATTGGAAACTAAGTTCTTTGTATCGTTCTCTTTCTTTAATGATTTCCTCCAATGATCCCATGAAAATAGAAATTCCTTTAAAGTTTTTAGTTCATTGTTCTATTTTAAACTACTTCTTCTTGTATTTTTATTCTTTTTTGTTTCATTTTTATTTTTGTGAAAAAATAAAGTATCATTAATAGTTTTAATATAGTTTCAATATCGTAAATTCATAGTTATAATAAAAGTACTATACTTAAATTATATTTGAAGAAAGTGATTAAATAACGAAAATAATCAAGTAACAAATGAATGGATTTCAACCAGACTACAACAAACTACAAACTATCCAACAAATTGTTGAAGCTTCATTAAATTGTCAAAGACAAAATGAGGTGTTACAACTGTTAGATGTTGTTTATCATTATGAAGATTATGCATTATACTTACAATATTTGTTGTTAAATACAACAAACGAAGTATATTTAACAATTATATTATCATTACTCAGACAAGCAATTAAAGATGGACGTACTGTAGATTATATTGAAACAATTCAAATAATTTTTAAATTAATAAGAGATGAGAAACAATATATAATGAAAGGAGGATGTTCTATTTTAACATTATGTTTTTGTAAAAGTCCATTAACTAGTCAAATGATTATTCAATTCATTGGTTCTTCTTTACAATCAACACAAACATTCTTAGTACAGTTTGGAATAGAACTTCTTGACACTATTATTACAGACCATTTTGAGAATTTAGATAAATCATTTTATCCAACAATTGAAAAACTTATGGAAATGGTTCTTCAATATTTTTCTTCAATTCCAATTAATTTAAAATCAAAAGTATTAAACACATTTACAGAGCTTATTCTTTTTGAAGCACCATTTTTATCTAATGCATTAGAATTATTAATGAGAACATTTTGTACAGAGATTTATGATGACAAGAAATATAGAATTAATCTATGTTCATTTTTAGTTTCTATTCCTCAAATTTACATTGAAGAAATTCCACATTATATGAAACAAATACAAACTGTTGTTCAAATATTATTAAATGATAAATGTGAATCTGTTTTTATTGAATGTACTGAAGTTATTATTTCATTATCATCAGAATTTGCAGAAGAAACACTTCCTTTCTTAATTCAATTTATTCCACTCTTCTTTGAACGATGTTTATTAACAGAAGAACTTATTTATAAAATCAATGAAGAAGATCAAACAAGACAAAAAGAACAAGTTATGATTCATGATGATGAACAATATGATTATGATACATCCGTTCGTAGTTCAGTATTTAATTTATTTGAATTAATTAATAATTCATTTGATTCAAATACTGTTGGAACATATATTAATGCATGGTGTCATTGTTATGAACAAAGACAACAAGTTCAAAATGATTGGAGAAATATAGAAGTGCTAATTAGAATTCTCAATGTTTCAGTACCATGTTATCATGAAAATGATTTATTTGATAGATTTGGGAGATTTTGTATAATTCCAATACAAAATATTATGAATGAAAATACATATATTAAAAGAATTGCTATTGAATTTATTGGGAATGTACCAACATTAGTTGTTGGAACATCACCAGAAATTAAGAATTCATTATATAATTATTTATTAAAACTTATTGGAGATAATAATTATACAATTTCATGTATTTCTCTTCAAACATTAACTAATTTGATTAATGGTGGATTATTTAAAGATAAATTAAATCAACTGTTTAGTTTAATTGTTCCTACAATTAAAAATTTAAAAGGTCAACCATTATTAAATGTTTGTGATTTACTTAGTTCAGTTATAGAAACATTAGGTACTAATTTAACTAATGAAATGGAAAATAGTATACAAAATGAATTAATACAATGTATTTATCTAAATAATAGAAATGAAGATGTTATAGATATTTGTTTGACTACATTATTTAGTAATATTATGTTATTTCATTCTATTTCAAATGATATGATAAATACATTAATTACTATCTCATTTCAATGTATAACAACATTCATAGAATCTGCTGATATTGTTAGTTCATGTTTAAGAGTATTTGAATGTTTATATAAGAAAAGTACATCATATATGATTTCTTTTATTAATTCTCATCAAAATGAAATGTTTAAAATATTTGAAGTTACTCTTCCACAATTACATAAAATTATTATTCAAGATTCATATGGATTATTAGGAGATATTATGAGTGGATGTTCTTCTTTTATAATTCAACATTTAAATTTCTTTATGGAAAATATTAATACAATGATTTCAACATTTCATGATGACTCTGTTACATCAGTTATTTGGGCTATGATTCAAGCATTAGCATATCTTCCTCAAAACATAACTCCTTATATTCATTCATTTGCAAAGAAATCATTCCATCTTTTTACAGATTCATCAGAAGCAGTTATTAAAAATATGTATGTTTTTGTATCTAAAACAATCCCAATTGACCAAACATTATATATCCCTTATTTACAATTATTGACAAGTCAAACATTTAAAACAATTTTATTAATAAAACAACCATTATACATTATTGAAACATTAACAAATTTCGGTCATTTAATTATTAAGAATATTGTTGTATGTAAATGTAATAATCAAATTATTAAAGACGTTTATTTTAAGGCATCTCAAATGATACCATCATTGGTAGAAATAGCTCATAAGGTTATTGCTACTTTAGAAATATATTAAAATTGAATACTTATTGAATTAAAATTAATTGTTTTAAGTTATGCAAAACATGAGTCCATTGTATTTGTAATTCATGAACATCGTTATAAATTGAGTCAAGTTGTTCAATAGTGATATGAACTTCTCTTTTAGCCATTACAGTAACTTCATATTTATTATATAAATATGTAACAGTAGGATACTTATTTTGGATTATAACAGGTTTAGTTCCTTTGGGATAACCCATCATTCCTTCTCCACATCCCCATTCAACTGATGTTAGTACAAAGTCATCTGGTTGAGCACTTTGAGACCTAGACAATAATGTTGTTTTGGGTTTTTTGTATAACCCAGAATTCAATTTTGATTGTTGAATTACAGGTCTAGTTAATTGGAATGAATTTCTTTGTGTTTCAACTGAAGTAGATAATTCAACTTGTTTTATTTCCAAACCATAGACTTTAATTATAAATTCTCTGTGTTGAATATAAATTTCAAAAATACAATTTGCTGGTGGTTGAGGTTCTTGATATAATAAAGATGGTTCATATTCTGGAAAAAGTCCTTTTTTTGGAGGATTGTCTAAAAGTCTAAGTGCTTTTGCACATGCTTCAATAATATTAGTTATAGTAACAATAAGTTTATTTAAGTCTGTATGATTTTCTTTTATTTTAGTTGTTTCATCCAAAATAATACAACATTGACGATAAAACTCTTGCATTTGTAATATTTGAGACTCTCGAATTTTAGCAAAGATTGGGAATTTTTGCCATTGAGGTAAATTAAATCTAATTTCTGTGCCATTACAAAACCATCCATTTAATTGTAAAACCCCTTGAAATGTTCCACTTTTAATATAAATATTTATATTTATTATACTTAAAGAAGAACAAACTCTTGTAATTGAAATTTATATGTTTTTGGTTCTAATTTTTCTTGTTCAGCTATTGGCATTAAATAGGACATACATTTATTAATTGTAGGGAATGTTTGTTTTATTAATGGTTTAATTTCATGGAAATAAAACCATTCATTTTCATCACAAAATTTAGGTAAAGAAGGTGTTATAGAAGGTGTTCTTTTAGGAGTAACTATGACATAAGTCATTGAGCAACAACAAATTAATAACAAAGAAAAAATTAATTATTTTTATTTTTAAGTTTTTCTTTTTTTTTTTTGTTATTATATGCCAAAAAAAAAACAAAACAAAATTAAAAGACAAAAAAGGAACAAGAGTTTAAAAGTTATCATAGCTTGAAATAAATGAATGTTCTGGTGGTGGTATAGAACTAAATTCACTTGGATGAATAAAATGTTGTGATTTTAACATTTCAAAAACCCATGTTAAATCAACAAAATTTCCAGCAGTTCTTGGATTAAAACTACTTCTAGTAATTTTTCTTTCATTTTCATTATTTTCTTGAACAAATTCAACATAGAAATCATATGCATTTTTTCTTCCAGAAGATGATTCAATAAATAATCCTCCAATTTTCTTAATAAATAATTCAATAAATGAATTTTCTATATGAATTTCTTTTTCTTTTTTAATTTTATCTGAAGCTGTAAATCTTCTTCCATATGAATGATTTGTTTTTTTAGGTGCAAATTTTGGTATTTTCATTTGTTCATTTGGATCAAATGACTCAAAATGAATTGGTTGTTTTGGCAAAGCATTCATATCTATTTTATATCCATGTAATAATTTTCCTTTTTGAATAGAAGATAATGGAAAAATAGGTAATAAATAATCATTAAAATCTACTTCTCGAGTTACTACATCTTCAAGATATGATGATGATAGAACATAAATTCTTTGAAGGATACAACATAAATATGGCATTAATAATCCTTCATTTCCTTTTTCACAAACATAAAATATCTTACTTTCTAATAAACTATTTTCTTGATAACTATTTTCATTAGTAATACGATGACAATCAATATCTGGATATCCTTGATGACTAATTCCTCCATACATTTTAATTTCTTTTTCAAATTTAATGTATAATATTTCATTACTTCCAAAATAAAATGTATTTCCTGATATTCCTTTACGAAAAACAATTGATCTTTTAGTTTTTATTCCAACTTCTGTTCGTCGTTTTGTTGGTTGTTCAAATTTATCTTCTATTCTTTCTTCTTTACTTTCATTAATCTTTTCTTTCTTAACTTTACTTTCAAATCGTTTGGAATACTCTTTAGCTTCTTTTAATTGTTGTTCTTTTTCTTCAAGTTCTGTTGCTCGAATATCTTCTATAGACATCATTTTGATACTGTCTTCAATTTGTTCATCATCATTCTCATCTACAATATTGGACATATCACTTAATTCTTGTTTGTCTTCTTCCTCTAAAATTTCTTCATTATCTCTTTCTTCTTTACTACTACTACTATCACTTTCATTTTCAAATTCTTTATTTAATTCTTTGTCTTCTTGATTAATTAATTCTTGGTTGAAAGGAGATGGAGAATAAGACTCTTCTAAATCTTGTTTATGTTGATATATTTCTTGTTCTTCTTTTGAATCTTCTAATGGTCCTAATTTAAATGCTATAGACTCTGAGTCTTCTGTTTCTTGAAGTTGAGATTTTCTTGGATTACTTGTTTCATTTTTTTGTTGTGAGTCTCTGTGTTGTCCAAGGAGAATCACTTTTTTTTTTGGTTGATTTTGTACTTCTAGTTTTGTTTCTTCTTTTATTTCATTATTTATTTCTTCATTTGGTGGTGATTTTATTTTATTTTCAATAAGTCTTTGATCTCCTTCACCATAATTATTATGAACAATTACTTCATTGAGCATTTTTCTTTTAATTGTTGTTTGGGAATTAGATGAAACATCACTTTTTTGACTATCTTCTTTTACAGTTGATTCATTAATATCATTTTTAACAACTTCTTGTTGCTGGGTTGATTCCAAAGATGGACGATGTGATAACAATGGATTTTTGAATTGAATCATTGTAACTTCTACAGCAGGAGGGAGTAAACTTCCTTTTAATTCATTAGTTAATGACTCTCTTTTCAATTCACTACTTCGTCTCCAATCCACATCAGGATGGTCAACATAATATAACATAGAAAGTTGTCCAATAGTAATCACATCACCTTTATCAATTTCTGCAATATTAGTGACTGTCATTTGATTAATTTTTATAGGTTCAGTAGTATATGATTTGAGGAACCCTTTTGATTCTTTTGGATTAACAAATATTAAATCAAACGCATGATAATCAATACTTGGAATTAAGACATGTGTTCCTTCTTTCCCAAATGAAACTGTCAACCGATTAATTTTGAAAGGAGTTGATGTGAACTCTCCATTTGATGTGATTTGAATGTACTTTTGCATAGGTTTGACTTTTTCTTTTTTTTAAAGTTCCTCAACTTTTTGTTTTTCTATAAGAAAGAATCTTGTCATATAAAATCACAAAAAATAATAATGTTATATGTTACAAAAAAATAATCAAAAATAAAAAGAATAAAACAAGAAACAGAAAAGTATTTTTGTACAGAAAAAGGGTATTAAAAAAAAAGAAAAAGAAAAAGAGAAAAAAAAAGTAATTTAGTTTATTTAACATGGGAGATTTAATAAGATCACAACCTGTCTCTTATGGACAATTAATTGTTCCTGTAAATGTTGCAGAAGAAACAATTGAACTTATTGGAGAATTGGGAATAGTTCAATTTATTGATTTAAATGAAAAAGAATTAACGTTTAATAGAAGATTTTGTAATGAACTTAAAAGATGTGATGAGCTTGAAAGAAAAATACGATATTTTAATGAAATGATAACAAAAGAAGAAGAACGTAAAGATATGAATGGATTAAAATTTAGAAGAAATGGAGAATTTCAAAGTTTTGAAAAAGAATCTACTGAAAATCTTGAATTAAAGTTAGATAGTGTAGAAAAAGATTTAAAACAAACAATTAGTGATTGTACTGCAACAGAAAATGATTTAGAAAAAATTGAAGAAGGATTATTAGTTTCATCAAACTTAGATACATTATTTGAAAATATGGATGATGTTGTCGTTGGAGGATTAAAATTTGTTATTGGAGTTATTGAAAAAAGTAAATATGATTCTGTTCAACGATTAATTTGGAGAGTTTCACGAGGACTTGTATTGATTAAGTCAATGGATCTTACTGAAGGATCAACATTAAGAAATTTCTTAGTTGTTTATCAAGGAGATGATCTTGGACTTAAAATCAATAAAATTTGTCAAACATCAGGTGTTAGAGTTTATACTAATATTCCAGTTGATCAACAACAAAGAAGAGAATTTGTTGATGAAGCATTAAGTAATAAACAACAATTAACAGGAATTTTTGAAGGAAGTACTAAGGAAAAAAGAGAATTATTAAAAACTATTGCATTACAAATTGAAGGATGGAAAGATGTTATTGATAGAGAAAGAATGATTTTCTTTACATTAAATATGTTTAAAGTTGATAGAGGAACAACATTAAGAGGAGAATGTTGGTTCCCATCAGAATGTTTAGATACTATTGTTACTAAGTTAAGTGAACTTGATCAAAATTCAATGTCACCTATCTTTTCACCAATTCAAGCCCCACCAAAAGCAATAATTCCTACATATAATAAAACTAATTCATTTACACAAACATTCCAAGATCTTACAGATTCATATGGTACACCAAGATATGGAGAAATTAATACAGCATGGTTAAATATTGTTACATTTCCATTTTTATTTGGAATAATGTTTTCTGATGCAGGACATGGTATTTTTATATTTGGTCTTGGACTTCTCTTTATAATCTTTCAAAAGAAATTAAAGAAAGCATCATTAGATGACATTACATTAATGTTATTTGATGCTAGATGGTTATTACTTGAAATGGGACTTATGGCAATATATTGTGGTATTGTATTTAATGAATTTTTTGGATTTTCAATAGACATTTTTGGAACGTCATGGGATAAAGTAGAAGGTGATGTTTATGCTAGAAGTAATGAAAATTATGTTTATTATTTTGGAGTAGATCCTATTTGGAAATCATCAAATAATGAATTATATTATGCTAATTCATTAAAAATGAAATTGTCTATTCTTATTGGTGTATTTCATATGACATTTGGTGTTATATTATCACTTTTTAATCATTTACATGAAAAAAAATGGTTAAATATATTCTTTAATTGGATTCCAGAAATGGTGTTCATGATTTGTTCATTTGGATATTTATGTTTCCTTATAATTTTCAAATGGTGTAATCCAGATAAAGATCCAGCCCCAATGTTAACTAATGTATTTCTTGAAATGTTCCAAAATTTTGGAAGAGTTACTGATGAAAATTATATATTTACAGGACAAAAAGTAGTTGAACCTGTATTACTTGTTCTTGTTATTATTTCATTATTACTTATGTTTATTCCAAAACCAATATTTTTATATATTAAATTAAGAAAACAACAAAGAACACATCCAGAAAGTAGACCATTATTAGAACAAGTAGATACTAATGATGGTGAATTTGGAGATTTTAGTGATAATCAATATTCATCTGATAATAATACTTTATTAAATAATAATGAAGGAATTAATGAAAATAATACTAAACAAGAAGAAGAAGAAGATAATGAAGAAGGAAATTCATTAATGGAAATTATCATTTTTAATTCTATTCATGCAATTGAATATGTCCTTGGATGTATTTCTAATACAGCTTCATATCTTAGATTATGGGCTTTATCATTGGCACATGCTCAATTAGGTTCAGTCTTTTTGGAAAATGTGTTTTATTTATTAATGGAAATGAATATCTTTATTACAATCTTTGTTGGATTTGCTGTTTGGGCTTTGATTACATTGGCAATTCTTATTGGTATGGAGTCATTATCTGCATTCTTACATACATTGAGACTTCATTGGATTGAATTCCAAAATAAATTCTACATTGGAGATGGTATTCCTTTCATCCCTCTACGTTTACCAAAACAACCTCTCCCATCAAATAACTAATCTTTTTTTCTTATTTTTGTTATTTCATTTTATCTTTTTCAAATATTTTTATAAAAATTATAATAATGGTTTTTTGGTTTATACTTCAACAATGTCTACGTCATGTTTCAATTTTACTTCGAGAGTTATTGCATCTTTGTTCAAACCTAAACATTAATAAAAATTGAATCTTTTTTCCATTTCACTCTGATTTTATTTTTAAAAACAAAAGATAAGTTTTTATTTTTGGAGAAAGTTATGTTTTTTTTTTGGATAAGAGTGTATAATAACCAATATATAATATTCATTAAAATGGTATTTCAGTAGGATTAATATAAAAAATAGAAATGTTCAAAAGACCTTTATTTGAGAATGGAATGTCAAACCAACTTTTTGAAAGTGAAAATGTTTTGAAGAAGAAGTAACTCAACTTTGTAAACAAAATATCTCCGAGTAATAAATAAGAGAAATGAAAAATAACAAAATAAAGTGCTTTGAATGATGTGGTACGGAATGGTCATATCTCATAAAAGGGTATCATCTGAGAAATACAAACAGAAGAATTTAATTTAACAATGAATACCGCCATTACCATTTCATTCAGCATTCATTATAAAACTAATTTTGGTGAAGAGTTATTTCTTAATCTTGATGATTCAACTTGTAGAAAATTAACTTGGACTCCAGGACATATTTGGATGGGAAGTGTTACAGTAGTTCGACCAAGGAGTATTCGTTGGTGGTATTCAGTGGTAAAAGATGATTCAGTAATACGTATCGAAGGTATGACATATCCACGTATATACAGGTTAGATAAATTACATAAATACTTTCATGTTTTTGATAGGTGGGAAAATCCTCTCTCAAGTGTGTCTCCATTAACATTGTTAGAGAAACCAACTCCAACAATTAGTGATGACCAACTTAATAGGATTCGTTCAAAACTTTCTATTAAACCAAAAAAATCTCCTTATATCACATCATTCTTAGTACGAATCCCAAGTTCAATACGAAGCTGTGCTGATTGTTAAATGATAATGTAAAAAAAAATGTAATAATTAATATTTTTGTACCTATGATTAATTTCCTTTTCTTTTCATATTTCTTTTCTTTATAAAGATGTTATTTCTTATTCAAAATTACTCTTTCGTTTTGGTTATTCTTTTTTATTTACTTAATCAAACAAAGGAAAAAAATATTAATTTTTTTTTTCTTCTTATGAAATAAATTCAAAAAAAAATTATACATTATTAATATTTAATTTATATCTTCAGTAAATAGAATTAAAGGTATTTTAACACTTGTTTGTGAAATTCTTGAAAATCTTATAACCATCTATTTTTTGATGAATAAAAACATTGTTATTTATTCTTAGTTATACGTATTAAAAGTATTTTTTGTTTTTTTAGACAAAATAATCTTGAACATTCAAAAATCCTTATTAACTCAAATAAAGTACAAACAAATTCTATCAAAAATGTTAAAGTGGATTATATTTTGTTAGAACAAGGTTTTTATGAATAAAAAAATAAGGAGTAATTTAACAATATGAATTTTTGATTTTTTTATAAGTTATTTTACTATAATACATACAAAAACTAGATTTATTAATAAAGAGATGAAAAAAGTGATAAATCCACCTTCATTTTATTTTCGACCTTCACATTGTTTATTAATTGGGAATATTAATAAAAATAATAGTTGTGACGATTTATGTCGAAAATTTACGCAATATGGGGTGGTTGTTGATTTAATTAATAATGTTCAGAAGAATGGGACTATTCAAGTTACGTACGTTTGTTTGATTTCTATATAACTAAAATGATTAGTGTTGATTGAAAAGAATGATTTGAGAGAAGCAGAATGGGCAAAACGTTGTTTGGATGGACAAATGTTCAATGAAAGAAGTATTAATGTTGAATATAGTCTTCCTTTATATTCAACTAATAATCCTCGAGGAATATTATTAAATTGTAATTTAGCAATTTGTTGTAGAATGACACATCATAAAACAAACTTAAGTTGTTTTATTAAGTTATTTCAAAGGTTTGGAGAAATTTATAGTATTTGGGGGTCTTCAAATGGTAAAATCTTTTTTGTTGAATATTATCAACTTCAAGATCATCTTAATGCATTAACAAGTATATCATCATATTCAGATGATTCAATTCAATTTCATTGTAAGTCAATTCAATATTCTCCACATCAAATTGAGGTATTAATGATACCATTAAATCATTATAAAATGTTTTCTTCTAACTTTTTTAGTAATAACAATGAACAAACATTGGATAAAGTTCAAATAAATCAACCATTGTCTCAAAACACTGTTGTAGATAAATCAAAAATTGAAGAAATATTGAGACACATTAATGATGAACT